TTCTCTCTTGTAAACTTCACTAACCAAGATGCCTCAGAGGTTCTCTATGGGGGTAAAGTCGGGCGATATGCTTGGTCAATCCATTTCCAGAACCACTCCATTTCCAGACATTCATTGTTTGGTGTGGTTGCTACTATGTATAGAAGCATTGTCTTGTTGAAGTTCATAGTTCGCTTGTGGATTTTGAGCCATGAAGGAAGTAAACTCGTGTCCAAGATATCGGTATAATCTTGGCTGTTCAACTGAAACAACTCGTTCAACTGAAAGTGCAAATCAACTAATCCATCAGCACAAAAAGCTGCCCATCACATTAGTTGAACATTGGCGTGTTTACTTTCCTTGTGTTTACTTAGGTATTTAAAGGTTTAATGAAAAAAAGAATTAGAGCTCTAGCATGCTTTTAACTTCAGATACAGCACTTTTCTCGGGTGGAGCACTTGATGTAAAACTGTATTAGGCTGTCTAGTAAAAAGTAAAACTGTATTAGGCTGTCTTTCAAAGAAAAAGACTTTCTGGACCGCCTAATACGAGTAATCCTCTTTACACATCGAGTAAATTGAATATCTTTACATTCGACGGGAATCTAAACAACTGAATCATTCAACCAAATCCTTTAAACAGCTGAATATCTTTACAAGGATTCATATCTATTATCTAAAAAACAATCCATTCTCTTTGCTATTCTATAGAGCACGTGTGGCTGACTGGCTAAGTGTCTTTTATCTTAATCGGAAGGTCGAGGGTTCGAACCCCACATGCGACATGGTCACCCCCTTCGGATTTCCTTTCCCTTCGGGTTGAGAGGTTTTCTGGAGGGCAGTCTGGTGGTTGTGGCCCCAGTTCTTTAAAGTGACAAGCCACTCCTTCATCGTCATCTTCCCTTCACCACCAAAAAAGCTATTTAGTTCCCCATTGAGCTTAGGGTTAGGGAGCCGTCTGTCATGACGTGGGTTAAGTTAAGATATAGCCTAGTATTGTGTGTGTCGTTGTATTGTGATTGATATATTTCGTGTATGCGATAAATTCACCACTGGTAGCCCCAGTCGGTATTTTTTTATTTCTAAACTAACAATGATGAAATCCCAGAAAGAAATTGAATTTGAATGAACTTGAATTGCTAAAAATTCAAAAATTCAAAGCCCTAAATGAAGAGTGATTTGAAAAAGAAAAAGAAGAAAATGGATAAATTGAAAAGCAAAAATTGAGAAGCAAAAATTGAGAGGCATTAGAAATGCGAAGGCAATTTGTCTATCGCTTTTGGTTGGAAAAGAGGGGTTGATGGGAGTGATGTGACTGGGGTAAAAGTCTGTCTGTGAGACGTCTGTCTGACTATGAGACGAGCTATCGGTCACTCCCGGAGTGACAGGCTCAGCCTTGTCTCCTCGCTCATTTATAGTTAGCGAGAGAGATTAATATTCAATGAGTTTAGCCATTCTTAGATAGAGTCAGACTCAGAAAATCTATTTCTTATTCGATTCGAAACGAAAAACGAAACGAAAAAGCGAATAGCAATCGTAGTTATATAAATTCGTCACAATTGAGAGCCAGGTTTGCTGGCTTGAGAGCCAAGAAAAGACTTGCATGCAAAGGCTTGCATGGCTTGCATGCATTGCAAATCTAAAAATCAATAATCTGAAGTTGTCAAGCTAGTTTAATTCATGAGGCACTTCTATGAGAAGTTCAAATCTTGGACTTAGAGCTTCTGGCTTAGAGCTAAGCCTGGCTTCTGGTATAACCTAACCCAGACCTAGTGGACGTTTAAATTATAAGAGTTTGCAAGTTGCAAGTTCTAGCTCCTTGAGCCTCTAGTTCTAGTTCTAGTTCTAGTTCTAAACTTGCAAGCTCTAGCTCCTTGAGCTTCTAGTTCTAGTCCTAGACTTGCAAGTGCTAGCTCCTTGAGCTTCTAGTTCTAGTTCTAGACTTGCAAGTTCTAGCTTCTTGAGCTTCTAGTTCTAGTTCTAGTCCTAGACTTGCAGGTGCTAGCTCCTTGAGCTTCTAGTTCTAGTTCTAGACTTGCAAGTGCTAGCTCCTTGAGCTTCTAGTTCTAGTTCTAGACTTGCAAGTTCTAGCTTCTTGAGCTTCTAGTTCTAGTCCTAGTCCCAGAACTTGCAGGTGCTAGCTCCTTGAGCTTCTAGTTCTTGTTCTAGACTTGCAAGTGCTAGCTCCTTGAGCTTCTAGTTCTAGTTCTAGACTTGCAAGTGCTAGCTCCATGAGCTTCCAGTTCTAGTTCTAGCTCCTTGAGCTTCTAGTTCTAGTTCTAGACTTGCAAGTGCTAGCTCCTTGAGCTTCTAGTTCTAGTTCTAGCTCCATGAGCTTCCAGTTCTAGTTCTAGCTCCTTGAGCTTCTAGTTCTAGTTCTAGACTTGCAAGTGCTAGCTCCATGAGCTTCCAGTTCTAGTTCTAGCTCCTTGAGCTTCTAGTTCTAGTTCTAGACTTGCAAGCTCTAGCTCCTTGAGCTTCTAGTTCTAGTTCTAGTTCTAGACTTGCAAGCTCTAGCTCCTTGAGCTTCTAGTTCTAGTTCTAGTTCTAGTTCTAGACTTGCAAGCTTTAGCTCCTTGAGCTTCTAGTTCTAGTTCTAGTTCTAGACTTGCAAGCTCTAGCTCCATGATCTTCTAGTTCTAGTTCTAGGCTTTCAAAAACCTAGTTGAACTGAATCACTGAATACTTACAAAACACTTGCAAAAGCTGAACTCAGAAACTCCTCGTTGATTGATCACTTTCTGAGTCCCAAAAATTCTCCCAACTCCTTGAAAAATCCGAAACCATTGCAAAACCCAGTGATTAACTCAAAAAAGTCTCAATGAGAAGGTTTCTCTTTAAAAAAAAAGTGGTACTCCTTTGTCCACAGCATATAAATCTTATTCTTTTCCTCTTTTTCTAAATCTGTAGTCGAAAAGATCTTGAAAGGAAAGGGAAAAGCCCGCCTGGGATCCCCGAGCTGGCCTCCGAGATTTATTATTTTGCAGCTTGTTTAGCGGACTCTTTTACCCTTTCTATCCTTTTCTCTTTTTGACATCACTCAGTTGAAATCGGGTTTGTTTGGAAATTTTTAAGTTCACGAATGGACTTTGGTACTTTTCGTTGAATAAAAGGGGATTAAGCGAAAACCAAAAGGGAAAATCAAAAACTTAAAGCTCTATCAAGCTTAGGCTTAGGCTTAGGCTTAGGCTTAGGCTTAGGCGCTAGTTATGTCGGCCAAAGCTCTATCAAGCTTTAAGCCGACATAACTAAACAACAAAATTATCGAAAAATATTGTGCCTTTATTCATACAATGTTTTTTAACAGTAGCTAATCTCTTTTCTGTGGGGCGGGGGCAATTCACAGCGAAAAGAGCTGTGCTGAGATGTTTTCTTTATGATTGTTCTTGCGGTGACATCAAGTTTGGGCTTAGGCTTAGGCGCACAAAGCTCCACGACTTCTCTCCTGCCAATTTACTTCGTTGAAATCCCAGCTTTTCGACCGTTTTTCACTTGAGCTTTAAACTAACGTAACTAAACAGCAAAATTATTGAAAAAATATTGTCTTTATTCTCACAATGTTCTGCAGGCCTGGCGTGATTCGCAGTCAAAAGAGCTGCTGAGATGCTTTCTTTATGATTGATCCTGCAGTGAAATCAAGTGGCATAGTGATGCTTGAGGGCTTGAGGCCAGCTCAGGCTTGAGGCCATCTCAGGCTTAGACTTAGGCTTAGGTTTAGGCTTAGGCTTAGGCTTGAGGCCATCTCAGGCTTGAGGCCATCTCAGGCTTGAGGCCATCTCAGGCTTGAGGCCATCTCAGGCTTGAGGCCATCTCAGGCTTGAGGCCATCTCAGGCTTGAGGCCATCTCAGGCTTGAGGCCATCTCAGGCTTGAGGCCATCTCAGGCTTGAGGCCATCTCAGGCTTGAGGCCATCTCAGGCTTGAGGCCAGCTCAGGCTTGAGGCCATCTCAGGCTTAGGCTTAGGCTTAGGTTTAGGCTTAGGTTTAGGCTTGAGGCCATCTCAGGCTTGAGGCCATCTCAGGCTTGAGGCCATCTCAGGCTTGAGGCCATCTCAGCCTTGAGGCCATCTCAGGCTTGAGGCCATCTCAGGCTTGAGGCCAGCTCAGCCTAGAGGCCATCTCAGGCTTGAGGCCATCTCAGGCTTGAGGCCAGCTCAGCTATTTCCATAGCCCTTGGTACTCTCAGATCACTTCCTGGACTTTCCAAAGCCTTGCCAAAACGAAAATCTGTAGGCTCGAACTCTGTACGCTCGCTCGAACTCTGTACGCTCGTTCTGTACTCCGTACGCTCGCTCTGTACTCCGTACGCTCGCTCTGTACTCCGTACGCTCGCTCTGTACTCCGTACGCTCGCTCTGTACTCCGTACGCTCGCTCTGTACTCCGTACGCTCGCTCTGTACTCCGTACGCTCGCTCTGTACTCCGTACGCTCGCTCTGTACTCCGTACGCTCGCTCTGTACTCCGTACGCTCGCTCTGTACTCCGTACGCTCGCTCTGTACTCCGTACGCTCGCTCTGTACTCCGTACGCTCGCTCTGTACTCTGTACGCTCGCTCTGTACTCTGTACGCTCGCTCTGTACTCTGTACGCTCGCTCTGTACTCTGTACGCTCGCTCTGTACTCTGTACGCTCGCTCTGTACTCTGTACGCTCGAACTCTACAAAATGCCAAAAAACACAAGATACTAGATTGCTTGCCTAGTGGCTAATCGTTTTTTTTTATTTGCTTCAAAGAATGAAAAACTGGGAGCCACATTGTGTCGATATCAGTGCTAATGACTGTCCCCCCAAATTACCCCAAAATTTTTTGACAGAAAACCGTTATTTACAAGTCGTAAAAATGCTCATAAAATGTTTCGAAGGGACTGTTCATTTTCTGGCAAATAGGCAAATAAAATAGAGCACAATTTTTAAGAAAAACAAATTGCTGGGGTCAATGGAGATTTTTATTTAAAAATATAACAAATAAAAGAGTTTTTCTCAAGTTTTTCTCAAGTTTTTCTCGTTTTTCTCAAGTTTTTCTCATTCATTGTTCGCCTCGCAAAGCAAATTGATGCACTCGTCGTTCGGGAAATGCAAGCTGTTGATCGTGCTTTGACTGAAAGATTATATAAAATATAATTGCTTAAGATTTATTGCATTTCGACTTTAACAGAAAATAATGTAGCTGTAAAAAATTGAAATTTGCATGTTCTGTCTAGGATTTTATTAGGTTAGAAAGAAAGTTCTCGGAAAAGTTTGTAATGTAATCTTTCAAAAACTAGAAAACAAAGGTATGCTCCATTATCTTCTCAAGATATACTCCATTATCTTCTCAAGGTATACACCATTATCTTCTCAAGGTATGCTCTATTATCTTCTCAAGATATGCTCCAGTATCTTCTCAAGGTATGCTCCAGTATCTTCTCAAGATATGCTCCAGTATCTTCTCAAGGTATGCTCCATGATTAAGTACAAATTATTGCCATTTATTTGGTAGAGCTAAGATTCCCTTCCCAGAAATTCTTTGGCTAAGCTAAGAAGTCGAAGTCGAAGGCTAGTGCTGGCTAGTGGCTAGGCTAGCCAGATTTTGATCTCAGCTCGATCTCCGAAGTAATCTCAATCGAGTTCTGCAGCCAGCTTTCGGAATAATCAGAAGAGACAGATGAAAGACAGATGAAAATTAGAAGAGACAAGCTTTGGGTTGTTCGGTGGATGAGGGAGTAAACAACTGGAGAACAAAAAAGTAAAATGGATCATTTCAAGCTTTCCCCACCGCAGAACACGCAAAAAAAGCTTAAAAATGAGTTATAAGTGCTCATTAAAGGGTCTATAAGTTTTTTTTGTAATGCTATTCTACTCTCTTCTTACGCAGAACCTTCTAGCCAGCCTAATAGACTTTCCCGACAAGTCTAATAGACCTAATCGATTTCTAATAGACCAAATAGACCAAATAGACTTTCTAATAGACCTAATAGACTTTTAGACCTAATCGATTTCTAATAGACCTAATAGACTTTCTAATAGACCAAATAGACCTAATAGACTTTCTAATAGACCTAGTCGATTTCTAATAGACCTACAGACCTAATCGACTTTCTAATAGACCTAATCGATTTCTAATAGACCTAATCGACTTTCTAATAGACCTAATAGACCTAATCGACTTTCTAATAGACCTAATAGACCTAATCGACTTTCTAATAGACCAAATAGACTTTCTAACAGACCTAATCGACTTTCTAATAGTTAGATAGTTTGTAAAAACATTAAAAATCAAAAAAAGAACCGTTTTTGTCTCTGCAGTCTCCCGAGGATTCTTTTCTGATGTTGAACGGAGTGTTGCCGAAGTCGCTCCTCCAGTTCACTCTCCGAGAAAAATGCCCAAAGGTCGACGGATCTAATAAGTTGATAAAAACTACAGTATTCTCGATAGCTTACATCCAGAAACCCTAGAATGTTCAAATATCCAGAAAATGTCAATCTAAGATGTTAGATCTAGATATAACTTGTTTACTTATCAAGCAGTGGCAGCTCTTCAACCCGACTCAAACTCCGGTCCTCGGGCTCTCCCTCGTCGGCGAATTTCAGCGTCTCCACCGTCTGAAAGGGTAATTTTCACATCAAAAACAGTATTATATCTAGATGTGAATATCTACATATCTTTAAAGATCTAAGTCAGCTTTTGGGCTAGTTACTTGCGGCATAAAAGCGATCGTGTCCCGTCGATCCAGCGGCGTCGAGCCGGCCATCGACTGCTCGTTCATGTACTAAAAATAGGATTATGCAATTATTATTAAATTTATTTATTATTATGCTTATTTATTATTTATTATGCTTTTTATTCTATTTTCTAGAGTTTCTAGAGATTTCTAGAGTTTCTAGAGATTTCTAGAGTATTTCTAGAGTATTTCTAGAGATTTCTAGAGATTTCTAGAGATTTCTAGAGATTTCTAGAGAATTCTAGAGATTTCTAGAGATTTCTAGAGTATTTCTAGAGATTTCTAGCGTATTTCTAGAGATTTCTAGAGTATTTCTAGAGTATACAACCTGTAAGATATCCAAATGAGTGATGTGTTCCTTTTCGGGATATCTTCGCCGAATCTCTTCGATGATCTTGAGCAGCTCCTTGACTTCGACCTGAAATAGTGTAGAACAGGATTTGCCGAGTGTGCCTAATCGGCTGGTTAAAGTATCCAATCGAACTGGGGTCGGATTAGGGGTGAACAGAAGCGATCAGGGTCAGGCCAGGGTGCTGGACCGGTCGGTACTGGACCATATTAAAGTTAGATCAGGGTAAGACTGGATTCAAGCCAAACCCAGATTAAAGCAGAGTTAGGCCAGGACTACAGAGTGATCCAAAAGTTCTTGTACAACTATTTACTTTTACAGGGTACACCAAAAGTCCTGTCAACTTACCTATTGGGTTTATAGATAGGCAAATACCAATCAACTTTGGATTTTTTAAGCCTTTTTTATAAATATTGAATAAAATTGAATAAGATTCAATAAAAACGTATAAAAATTGTCAAATAAAATGTTCCTAGAAGAATTCTATTGCAAGACTTTTGCTCAGTACTGATCTAACCAGAGTTGGATTAGGGTTAGACCAGAGTTAGACCAGGCCAGACCTGGTCTAGGCCTAGATCAGGCCAGACCTGGTCTAGGCCCTAGGTTAGGCAAAGATTAGACTAGGATTGAACTCAGGTCAGACCCAGGTCGACTAGTTTATCCTATTTGCATGCGCTCACGACTGACTCGACTGCCCAAATCTGAGCCAATCAAAACTATGATAAAAGGACAAGCTCTTTAGTCTTTTAATCGTTCAAAATTTAATCGACCCCACCTCCATCTGTTCCGGACGCTTCTTTCGTTTGAAATTGATCTTCCGCCCGAAGTAATGAATCTTCAAGAAAAGATCTTTCAGCTCAAAAGCTGCCAGCTCTGCACACATTGATAAAACAGCGACTCCTAAATTGGACTTATCATAAAATTTTGATTTCTTTACCAAATGTAACAAAGATGAAGATATAGATGAGCGTGAGAACATGATTGAGATCTGTCGGCATTTCGCTCATCGTTAAATTTGCGACAAGGTTGAAAGTGACGAAGAAAGCCTCGAGGAAGGTTTTGTTGCTGCCTGGAATTTTTCTTTGGTTTTTAAGTCCTACCGAAGTCAAAGCTTGGGTATAAGCTTAGGTATAAGCTTAGGTATAAGCTCGAGAATAAGTTTGGGCATAAGCTTGGGTATAAGCTTGGGTATAAGCTTGGATATAAGCTTGGGTATAAGTTTAGGTAGAAGCTTGGGTCTAAGCTTAGGTCTAAGCTTAGGTATAAGCTTAGGTATAATCTTGGGTATAAGCTGATGCATAAGCTTAGGTATAAGCTTAGGTATAAGCTCGAGTATAAGCTTGGGTATAAGCTTAGGTATAAGCTTAGGTATGAGCTTAGGTATAAGCTTAGGTATAAGCTTGGGTATAAGCTAACAAACCGTAGTTCATTTGATGCATTTATTGGTTTTAAGGAACGAAAAGACTTTCTGGAGAGGCTATGAAAAAAGACTGGCTTGATTGGCTTGATATTAGGAAAGCTAACGTGCTACAGTAAATCCTCATCTAACATAATGTGAATTTGAAATTTCTTACCAGCTGCCATCATCATCAATCCTCCAAGTGTACAAAAAAGCAATAGAATGCTGGCGTTAAGCGATAGTGGAAGTCGTTTCGTCTTCGGGACTTCGCTCGGTTTCTTCGCTTCTTCGTTTACTTCTTCGGGATCTATAACGATGTAATACTATCCATAGATATTAGATAACTTAAAAATATCAGAGATAGATTAGTTAACTGATCAGATATCAGATCAGATATCAGATTAGATAATAAAATTCTACCATTATTGTTCAAATGCTCTTCACCAGTGTCCGTCTCTCGGTCACTCTCTTTCCCATCGCAATTCGAGTACTCTTTTAAAAAAGATCTAAAGATTTTCTATATAAAAATATTTAGATATCTATAGATTTAATAGATTTAATAGATTTAATTTAATAGATTTAATTTAATTTAAATGTAAATTTACCTATGCCTTCTTACTCTTAAAATCGGATTACTGTGATTGACGAGATCGAGAATTTCCTTTTTTTTCCGCCCACAAAGTCGGCTCGAGAACTCGCAATACTAGATTTATCGATTAAAGAATTTTAATTTAAATATTAGCTACATATTTAGCTATTTAGTTATTTAGTTATTTAGTTATTTAGATATTTAGATATTTAGATATTTAGTTATTTAGATATTTAGATATTTTTATTCACCTGAGTGTAAACTTTGAGCACGATCCGCGAGAGAAATCGGCCAATATCCACCGCTGCCAACACCATCAACGGGATGCCGATCATCCCTGGGAAAGGGATTTTCAAATTACTGTAAGCTTACTGTAGCTTACTGGTTTACTAGAGATTGGTATTGTCAAGTTATTTTATTGCTTTAGATTTTTCTTGATCCTATTTTTGTCTAAAAGTTACCGTATCCGATCCCCACACATTGACCTTTCCACGTAGTTGGCACTGCATACGAGTACCCGGTGGTGGTCTAAAAACTAAAGTCGCTTTCGTAAAGGAAACTATAAGGAAACAAATAGGAACTAAATAGGAACTAAATAGGAACCAAATAGGAACCAAACAGAAACCAAATAGGAACCAAATAGGAACTATAAGGAACCAATAGGAATCAAATAGAAACCAAATAGGAACCAAATAGAAACCAACTAGGAACCAAATAGGAACCAAGTAGGAACCCGATAGGAAACAAATAGGAAACAAATAGAAACCAACTAGGAACCAAATAGGAACTATAAAGGAACCAAATAGGAACCAAATAGGAAACAAATAGGAACCAAATAGGAACCAAATAGGAACCAAATAGGAACCAAATAGGAACCAAATAAGAACTAAACAGAAACCAAATAGCAACCAAACAGAAACCAAATAGGAACTATAAGGAACCAATAGGAACCAAATAGGAACCAAATAGAAACCAAATAGGAACCAAATAGGAACCAAATAGAAACCAAATAGGAACCGTTTCCTTTTCTTAATTTTGTAGGACAGTTTATGAAGTCAAAATATCGATGACTATTCTTGTTAACAGGGCTTTTGTTCTTTTGTCAAGTCAAGTTAAGCTGGCTTTTTGACTCGAAACTAAGTCAAGTCTATGACTACTCGAAACTAAGTCTTATAGAGTCAGCGATGGTGATCTAGAATCTGTTTTTAGTTTTTGTAGAACGCTTCGCAAACACGAGATATTTGGCATAGAAAAGCATCTTGAGTTTTGAGCTCTTTAAGAAGTCGTCATAGGCTTCCACAACAGCTGCTTCTGTGGTCTAGAGCTGCTGCTAGATTGCCTGTGGTCTAGAGCTGCTAGATTGCCTGTGGCAGGCGCAGTGCCTGTGGTCTAGAGCTGCTAGATTGCCGTGGTCTGAGCTGCTAGATTGCCTGTGGTCTAGAGCTGCTAGATTGCCTGTGGTCTACAGCGCTAGATTGCCTGTGGTCTAGAGCTGCTAGATTGCCTGTGGTCTAGAGCTGCTAGATTGCCTGTGGTCTAGAGCTGCTAGATTGCCTGTGGTCTAGAGCTGCTAGATTGCCGAACTGTGCATTTCTTTGCCATCAAGTTCGTGTCCCACTCTCGCCAGTTTTTAGTTTTTCAAAAAACTGTTTCCTTACGTGTTTGCAATGAGTAATAGAGTTGAATCTTGCACACAGCTTTCTGTCTCTTCAGCAAATACAGGGTGGCTGAAAATTACGTTTTTTGACGAAGTAATGAATAGATTGCAACACCGGATCCCAATCCATATTGTCTTTTCGGTCTTGGGTTTTTTGACTTATCAACTTATCTATTTAGAAAAGGAAAATCAGCTTTTGGAAATGATTTTGAAGTCGCAGAAAGCTGTTCAAAATCTAAGGAAGCGGCGTTAAGGAAGCACAATTATCTCGGCCGCACCGTCGATTCTGTTAAGGAAGCAGCTGTAATTGAAGCAGCAGTATCAAAGCGGTTAAGGAGGCAGCTGTTAAAGAAAATCTGTTAGTAACGCTATTAAGGATGCTTTTGTTAAGGAAGCAGCTGTTAAGGAGGCCTATAACGGCTTCTTAAAAAGCTCGAAATTCAGGATGATTTTCTATGCCAAATATCTTGTGTTTGCGAAGCGTTCTACAAAAACTAAAAACAGATTCCAGATCTCCATCGCTGACTCTATAAGATGGACTTAGTTTCGAGTCAAAAAGCCAGCTGAATGCCACTCTGAAAAAAACCTGGCTTATAAGTCCTTGGTTTGTAAGGACTTATAGTTTACAAACCAATCAGAACATCCCTAATAGTCAATCAGTACATTTCTCCCACCAAAATAGATAGCGCATAAAGCAAAGCACTCATTCGATCCCATCTCGGTGGTAGCACTTCAATAGTTGACAAATCGTAAGCCATTTTGAAGTTTGAACCCTCATGGCGCTGACTGATTCTATAAAATTGTAAAAAAGAATCGCTTTTTGAGACTCACTGAACCAAAAGATCGTGAATTTCTCGCTGAAAAGTCTCCTGTTTTTTGGGAACCAAATGTGCGGAAAGATCGCTCAACTCGGCTTTAATCTCTCGATATCGAGCTTTGATGCTGGTGAACTGGAATTGATGCTAGTGCTAGGCTGATCTATCTGGCTGGCTGATCTGGCTGATCTGGCTGATCTGGCTGATCTGGCTGATCTGGCTGATCTATTTATCTGGCTGGCTACCTCATTAAATCCGAGTTTTAATTGGTAGACTCAAAAAAGAATAGTTTTATGTGTTGTGCAAGATGTCATGTTAAATTATGCTTCATTCACTTTATAGCTGCCATGTGTGTTAATTTTTTACTTATTTTGTTTCTTATCAATTAAAGGATGTCAGAATACTTATTGTAAAGCTAAAATTGAGCCAATTCGAGCGGTTTAACATCAAAATAAAATAAAAACAAAATCAAGGGATCGAACCCGAGCAAAAGCCTGGCAGTTGGTTCTGGAAGCAAGACTCCTAACCACTACACCACGCGCTCACATTTAGATGAGGTGAAAGAGGCGTTATATTCCCTTGGGAGCCATTTTATTTTGGGCCTCGACATGCTGGGATTGCCTTAAATCTGGCTGTTTTTCTAATTGTCTGAATTGGCAAGGTGGCGCAGTCGGGAGCGCGTTAGTCGGTAATCGGCGGCGTACGAGCCAGGATCCGGGTTCGACCCCCCGTCGTGCCACTAAGTTTTAATTTTTCCATTTTTTGATTTCAAATGCCACAATTACAATATATTCTAAGGTTTTCTAAAGAATCTTTAGCTTTATTGGTCAAAACACAGCCAAGAAAATGCTCGTACAGATAGACAGACAGACAGACAGGCAGGCAGGCAGACAGGCAGACAGACAGACAAACAGACAGACACTGCTCTTTTATATATACAGTGCGTTTCAAATTCTTAAACGCACCCTCTAAAATAGCGAATTTTGCATTTTGACCACCGCTACAACTATTAATCTTTTTCTATTAGAAAGAGCATGTCTTAAAACCTAAATAACACGAAAAATAAGCATACTGTCAGGTCGCGTCCGTTTCCTTCCTATTTGCGTTCCTATTTTGCAATTATTCGCGTCGCATTTTCGTCCTTTTTTCTCCCTTCCCGAAATTATTTTTTTTTGGTCTGCGGGTTTTTGCCTTCTTTCTGGGGGGGCTTTGTTGTTTCATTTTTGAATGCGCATGCTGTTTTTGTAATGGCTATTGTTGCATTTCGGTTCCGTACTAATAAACAGTAACGTTATAAATTCACTTTACTTTATGCTACCCTTCAGGTTTTAAATCCTGTTTAGATAACTGGTTTTACTAACATTTGTGTCACCATCGACGTAGTATCAATCCGATCTGTACTCTTCTCAAGAGTACTAATCTATTGTTAGATACTACGTGTTCTTGTTAAGTTGTAAGCGCTTTTGGGGAAACCCTTTTAACCTTTTGTGCTATTCGGTCATTCTTAAGCAGAATCATCCTCATTGATAAGGTTAAAGCGGGTCGCACCCCAAACTGTAAAAAGTAAAAATTTTCAAAATAGAAACTTTTTGCTAAATCAACCGTTTCAAATTCTTAAACGCACCCGCCTTTGCTGTTGTTATTTGAAATTTTTCGTTTTGTTGTGCATATTTTTTTATTAAATTTATAATTTTTGTTAATTTCCAGGTAAATGGCACACGGAAAGCTGCTCACGGACTATGATAAAGGCCAGATTGATGCCCGTTTGAGGATTGGCGACTCAATAAGGAAAATCGCAAAAAATTAGTGCCGATCCGACTCTGCCGTGCAAAATTATAGAAAGTCCGAGTTCGTTTCTGCACCAAAGAAGAAGCCAAGACCAAAACCAAAGCTTACACCGCGAGCTAGACGTCATATTGTGAATAATATCCATGGAAAAACGGAACTGAAAATTCACGCTTCGACAAATTTTGCAAAAAGTTTCTATTTTGAAAATTTTTACTTTTTACAGTATGCTTCTTTTTCGTGTTATTTAGGTTTTAAGACATGCTCTTTCTCATAGAAAAAGATTAATAGTTGTAGCGGTGGTCAAAATGCAAAATCCGCTATTTTAGAAGGTGCGTTTAAGAATTTGAAACGCACTGTAGCAGAAATTTCGAAAACCTTCCGGACCAATGTCCATTCGTCAGTTCCAAGTAAACATCAGTAAACATCAAAAGTAAACAAATCATTTACTCAAAAAAAAAGTATTTGTTTTAAAGTTTTTAAGTTTTTAAGTACAAAACGGCAAATTTAACACTTTCACACAAACCTTCTCGTGTTGAATTTTTAAATCGGCTTCGCTCTCGATTTTTCTAAAATTTACGAGTACTGTAGACTTTAGAAATCACTAGAATTACAGTACTTTAGACTATTGAAGTATTTTAATAAGAATTGTCTAAATCAAATTGTTATAAGCAGCACGAAACCAACGCAAACATCCAGGCTCCGCAAATGAGATAGAAGAAGAGAAAACAGTAGAGAGCGAAGTGGGGAAGCGCCATTTTGATCACCTAAACAAGAATTTTGAGGAATTGAGTGCACCAGAAAGGATGCGTTTACAATTTTCGTGAATAAAGTACACCAATTTTCTTACATGAGCCACTCCATGGACACTTGGGGGATTCTCGGCGCTCTCCTCGCTTTCTCCGACCTCTTCGCTCAACTTCTCGGACATTTCTAAAGATACTAGAAATAGAAACTGTTTCTATTTTACAACATAAAGTCGATTTTATATTTTAAAGCTAAAAAATAGTTATCCGTTAAGAATTTGGGGTATTTTATGGGATTTGGAGATTCGAGAATCCGTTAATTGAGTTATTTGTGGAGCCAGATGTGCTCCTAGTGAGTGAAAATGTTCTTTAGCTTTCAAAAACTGAAATATCGGCTCATTAATGCATATTGTAGTGAGCCAGCAGCCATAATTGTACCGTAGAGTATAAGATACTGTAACTAATGCAAGGGTTTTGTAGCTAAGCTAGTCAGCTGCCTTGTAGAGTCAGCTGCCTTGTAGAGTCAGCTGCCTTGTAGAGTCAGCTGCCTTGTAGAGTCAGCTGCCTTGTAGAGTCAGCTGCCTTGTAGAGTCAGCTGCCTTGTAGAGTCAGCTGCCTTGTAGAGTCAGCTGCCTTGTAGAGTCAGCTGCCTTGTAGAGTCAGCTGCCTTGGCTAGAGTCAGCTGCCTTGTGGCAGCTGCCTTGTAGAGTCAGCTGCCTTGTAGAGTCAGCTGCCTTGTAGAGTCAGCTGCCTTGTAGAGTCAGCTGCCTTGTAGAGTCAGCTGCCTTGTAGAGTCAGCTGCCTTCAGGGGCACTAGAGCAGTCGAACAATACAGTGCTCCAGTACTGTATTTTTCGACTGATACAGTACTTAAGATACAATACTGTAATTTTAGTTTGATGAGACCTACTACAGTATTCTTGCATCAACAAGCACCGAAAATGAGGCTCTTATCATTCTACGTCACTCTACGTCATCAGTTCTTTATCAACTCTTGGGTCAGGACTGCAAGGATAATGAATTTCGAATAATCTGGATTATCCATGCAACTCTGCCTAGGATCTAGGGATCTAGGAGCGGCTTTCTATTAGATTTCTATTGTAGATTATAAACTATAAGTAGATTATTTGAAAAAAGTGTGTTTTAAAAATGATAGCTGAATCAAATGATATCTAGATTCGAAAGATATATCCTTTCACAACAAAATGGCTTTTAAGAGAAGCTTTTCTTTTACTATACGGTAACAATACAGTACTGGAGTAGGAGCTTTAGGTATATTTCACTCACTAGGAGCACATCTGGTTCCACAAATAACTCAATTAACGGATTCTCGAACCTCCAAATCCCATAAAATACCCCAAATTCTTAACGGATAACTATTTTTTAGCTTTAAAATATAAAATCGACTTTATGTTGTAAAATATGTTTATGTTGTAAAATAGAAACAGTTTCTATCCTTAATATCTTTAGAAATGTCCGAGAAGTTGAGCGAAGAGGTTGGAGAAAGTGAGGAGAGCGCCGAGAATCCCCCAAGTGTCCATGGAGCGGCTCATGTAAGAAAATTAGTGTACTTTGTTCACGAAAATTGTAAACGCATCCTTTCTGGTGCACTCAATTCCTCATAATCTTTGTTTAGGTGATCAAAATGGCGCTTCCCCACTTCGCTCTCTACTGTTTTCTCTTCTTCTGGCTTGTCAAGCACATCCACAAATAACTCCGGCTCCACAAATAACTCAATTATCGGTTTCTCGAATCTTCAAATCCTATAAAATACCCCACAATGCCTAATGGATAACAACAGCAATGGATAACAACAGCAATGGATAACAACAAAGTAGTTAAGTCAAAAAAGACAAAATTGTACTTAAAATAAGCCGCTGGAAACTGAAAGCCACTGAAAGGATTTGTTTTCCGGAAAAAACAATTTCATTTCTAGTAACCATATGACAAAAATTTCTCTTCCATTCCACCTACATGGATTATCTTTCATCAAAAAAAATAAAGATTTCGGATTGGAAACGGATTGGAGCCGATTTGTACTTGAATCGCTTCTCAGCCTTCGATCTGAATACAATAATATTGTTGAGCGAAAGTGACGTGACAACCGTAACCCCGAGAAAAGTGGCTTGAATTCAAATTGTTCAAAAAAAAAAGCGTTCAGAAAATTTCTTTCTTAAATTTATTGTTGACAAAAAAGAATGTGTTTCTTGGTAGCTAAGCACTTGGCTTTAGCCAAGTGTTTACGCGATTACGCATAGCGAGCGCCAAGCGCCAAGCGATTACGCATAGCGAGCGCCAAGCGCCAAGCGATTACGCATAGCGAGCGCCAAGCGCCAAGCGATTACGCATAGCGAGCGCCAAGCGCCAAGCGATTACGCATAGCGAGCGCCAAGCGTCAAGCGATTACGCATAGCGAGCGCCAAGCGTCAAGCGATTACGCATAAAGAACCACCCGCAATTCGGAAGAAACTCACTCGATCTCAATACAAAATCTCTTTATGAGCAGAAAATTTCGATGTTTTCAACAACGAAAAGCTACGGTAATCTGGGCAAACTTTGGCAGTGAATTTTTTTCAAAAATGATCAAACTTGCGTACAAAATGAAGAAAAAAAAAAACTCGATTCCTATCTGAAAATTTCTCTCCTTAAAAAAAGCGTTCAGAAAATTTCTCCTCTCAATTTTTCGTTTACCAAAAAGAAATCTGTTTCCCGGTAGCTAAATTCCCGGCTTTGCTTACAAAAATTGCTTACAAAAATCTCTCCTTTCCTCTCAATTTATTTAATTCGTCTTTTCCGATAAAAAAAACCAATGACTTTTCGGGGTTAATCCCCAACGATTTTCTCATTTGGCTTAAGGAATTTCCTAAGAAAAGCAAAAGATTTCAAAATAAGCAGCTTATTTTGAAATCGAGAACATGATGAAAATTGGGTCGAATCAGTGAAGAAAGCGAGGCTCAGACTATATTTTTTTTTGAAAAATTGAACAGAATTTGCATTACAATAGTTGTTCTAAAAGAGTACTTATGAAGTAAACAGCCATTCTAAAATTCACAATGATTGAGAGTTGTTTAACAAGAAATTCTTTCGGTTAAAGCAGGCAAGGCTTAGGCTTAGGCTTAGGCTTAGGCTTAGGCTTAGGCTTGGACTTAGTGCGTAGGCTAGCGGCTAGCGCCTAGCACTAAGTCTATTTGGGTTTGGGCTGAACCCCCATTTTTTGGATCTCAGCGAGTTCTGGGAGCTAAGGCACACCCGTTTGGTGTTGTGCATCCGCCCCCCATAGAAGCATCCTGGCAAATTGAGCTATAAGTCGAGAAAGGGTATCTTTTCGATCTTTCGATCCAGAAAAACTTTTCCTCCCTTTTCATACTTTCGTTTAAAACCAACAAATGCATCAATTGAACTACGGTTGGTTTTATTCGAAAGGACAATTATTTTCTGCAGAATAACACTAAAATTGGTTTCAAATGTCTTGTGTTTGGGCTTTTTTGGGAGCCTGAAGTCGGCTAGTCAAAAACGGCTAGTCAAAAACAGCTAGTCAAAAACGGCTAGTCGATGGCTAGCTTGATGACACTCGATGACTTGATGCTACGGTTTAGACACACTTCAAAAATCAATAATTGTGTATTTCAGGCGTCAAAAAGGCGACGACTTGATAGAGCGATGAGATTTTAGCCAAGGAATCCGATTTTTTTTTATTTAAAATGGCACAACTATATCATCTTTTGAGATTTTTTAAGTTAAAGCTTGTTCAAAGGCCAACAAAAACATCGAAAGTTTGAAGAAATCACTGTTGAAAGCGTGGGAAGAGCTCGATCCAGCCTATTTTGTCGGTCAATGGTCGCCACCGTTGACGCCTTCCCGAAACTCCTGCAAGTCTGTTCAAATGCTAATGGTGGCTGAATTTGATAGTTGATTTATAATTGTTTATGTACAATAAATGTTATTCAGTTAAAAATTTGTCTTTTTAATCGTCTGTCTTAAAATCAGAACTTTATCTTGTTGCGACGATTATGGCGACAATTATGCCTGTATACAACTCTCCAAAACTAGAGAGCCTTTGGGAGGCTTGGAGATTTGAAGATCTATAGAGTTGCTAATTTTGAATATCAAAGTAAAGCAAAGTTTCTGAGTAAAGTATCGAAGTAAAGTGTTGAAAATAAACAGTAAATTTAAAAAAGGCTTTATGCTAAGGTCGTGGTCTGCCTTTTGCTGGCTTTCCACAAAAAGTGGCTGAACTCTAAGAGCTGAACTTTCAGAGTCTCAGAGCTGAACTCTAAGAGCTGAACTTTCAGAGCTGAACTCTCAGAGCTGGACTCTCAGAGCTGAACTCTCAGAGCTGAACTTTCAGAGCTGAACTCTCAGAGTTCAAGCCAGCTTCTGTTTAGGCTATTGGGCTAAAATTGGACCTGGATTAGGAAAATTTGATTAAGAATAGGCTTTATGCAACATTTTGTGCAACTTCACTATCATGTACCAAGCTATAGCCAAACCTAGCTGCTGGCAGCAAGCTTTTCGATCCAGATCACAAGAGCAAAAGCTAGCAAAGACTTGTTTAGCTAACCAATGCGCTTAATGGGTTAAACAGTGGCTCCAGGTCTTCAGATTCTTATTTGTTATTGTCAAAAAAGGAAATTTTTCATCTAAAATGGTGCTTTTAAGTCACATTTCGTGCACCCAAAGTTTTCCCTTCTGAAATTTCTTGTCCTGAAATTTCCGGGTGATTTGCTTTGATTTGGCTTTCGAGAAACTCTAGCTAAGAAGCTAAGTACACCAGAATATTCTCGGAAACAGTAGCAGTACTTTGTACTTTGTAGCAGTACTTTGTACTTTGTAGCAGTACTTTGTAGCAGTACTTTGTAGCAGTACTTTGTAGCAGTACTTTGTACTTTGTAGCAGTACTTTGTAGCAGTACTTTGTAGCAGTACTTTGTACTTTGTAGCAGTACTTTGTAGCAGTACTTTGTAGCAGTACTTTGTACTTTATTCAAGTATAAAGTACTTTATTCAAATACGAAGTACTTTATTCAAGTATAAAGTACTGCTACAAAGTACAAAGTACTGCTACTCTTTCCCGAGAATATTCTGGTGTACTTGGCTTCTTAGCTAGAGTTTCTCGAAAACGAAATCAAAGCAAATCAAAAGCAAATCAAGCAGTGAATTTCCCTCAAATCTCTGGCGCTTTAAATCACTTTTCCTCCTTATTTTCCCCCGATTTCCCTCATCATAAAACAATTCTCTTTGATCTAAAGAAGAAAAATTGTATTTTAAACTGAGTTTTGTGCTCAGCCGCGGTGAAAAAAAATGAAGTAGACATTCGAGAAAAATTCAGTTCAGAACACATTTTGTGATTTTTTTCGTTCTTTTCTTTTTTTTCTTTTTTCAGTGAATTAAACGTCAAATATTCTATGTTCAGTTAATTTTTCTTAAAAAATTTCCTAATAAGAAGAAAAAACTATCTTTTATTTAAGTCTGATCACATTTTTCAAATCCTTTCTTTTATTAATCACCACCCAAATCATCAAAGATCACTTTTTTATGGCTTTTTTTGTAAAAAATTTGTTTTTGTCAAAGTATTATTCAGGTTTTATGTTTAAAAATTGTTAAAAATTGTTAAAAATTGTTGAAAATATCTTTTTTTAAGAAGTTTATCATCTTTTTTAAGAAGTTTATCATCTTTTTTACGAACCTTTTCATCTTTTTATGTAAAATTGTTAATATCATTCAAAACAAAGGTCTAAATAAGTCAAAATCAAAATCTAAATTCAGCTAATTTAAGCCTAGAGTTATCTTCTATCTTCTAGAGGCTCTAGAGGCTCTTCTAGAGACTCTAGAGGATCTCTAGAGTCCTCTAGAGACTTTAGAAGATCCTCTAGATCCTCTAGAAGATTTCCGTGCGCTTTTGTAAATCTCCATGAAAATCCAACGATCACAACAATCACTAGAGATCCTCTAGAGTCTCTAGAAGATCCTCTGGAGACTCTAGAAGATAGAAGATAACTCTAGGCTTATATTAGCTGAATTTTTACTTTGATTTTGACTCTAGAGTCTCTAGAGGATCTTCTAGAGTCTCTAGAGGATCTTCTAGACTTATTCTGTTGTGAAAATTTCCGTTAAAAGCATTGATCTTTCTTTTACATCCAGCACACGTTGTTTCATCTCGAAAGTCGGTGGGATTTTGAAGAATTTCTCAATCATTTTTGACTACCGGAAAAAAAAGGGAAAACTTTGTAGCCTAAAAAGGGCTTTTGCCCGTTTGCTTACCGCTCTTTTCCAGAAAAAAGTGAGAAAAACTGTGCCAAATCCTCGCTACAGAAGAAATTGTTGGGAAATTGTCTAAAGCTTGCCAAATGCGGTCCAAATTTTTGTCGAAACTTGTAGTGATCGTTGGATTTTCATGGAGATTTGGAAAAGCGCACGGAAATTTTCAGTTTTCGTTTTTAGTTTCATTTTCATTTTGCGTTCGGCTTTCAGTTTTTTCATTACCAACTTTGTCTAGTCTTGATTGTTACAGTATTTTTGGTATTTTTGAATGAAATCTGTATATTTCTATAGATTTACTGTAGATTTACTGTAGACTTACTGTAGAGTTGCCCTAGACTTACTGTAGAATTACCGTAGACTTACCGTAGTACCAACATTTTACCGCATCGACATTGTAGATTTGGGCTTTCAAGAACTGTAGATTTAAAAGAATCCAAAAAGATACGATTGGGTGCAATTAGCTTACGGTAGCAGTACTGGTGTGTAAATTACAAGTTCTACAAGTAAGTATCGGTTAAGCCAAGTCTACCTGGTACGGTAGAGTCTAGCTAAATCGTTATGGATTTCTGAGTCAATTTGTTGGGTCTTCTAGCGTCATTCTACAGTTCTAGAATCATTCTACAGTTCTAGAATGATTCTAGAAGTCTAGATTTCAAAAGTCTTGGTTTTTTTATTAATTAATTAACTAAAAATTAACTATTTAAGGCTTTAGTCGGCTTTACTAGAACTTGAATGAATCAAATACTTGAAAGAACTTGAATTCTATAGAGTTTGATCTAATTCCTGGATTGATTACTACTATCAGAATTTCAAAACAAAGCCAAAAAGCCCAAAGCAATACGGTAAGGTATACGGTATATTAATAGT